TGCCTTAGGAAAGAAAAGAAAGTGGAGGTTAAACTACAAAGCTGGAAACACTCCGAACAAAAGGAATTATACCCCGTCTGGGTCAATGAGCCTTCTAACACCCTAGGGCACTAGAAAACCACCTATGAAAGGTATGTTGAGCCAGTCAGATTGAAAAAGCACGGGGTTCCTTTTTGGGACATGCAAATATGAATGCAGTTATCTAGAACGTTCTTTAAGTATTGTGGATGCCCTATTAATATATGCAGGAATATAAATGTTACAATTTTTTAATCCTGAATATTTTAATCCTAAATATTTTAATCCTAGATTTTAATTATCTTGAATATTTTATTTATGATTTTTAAGTAGAAAAATTAGGAATGTAAGTCCTAATGAGCCTATGTTGCATCGTGAAATCTCAGATACACAGAAAGAAATAATATAAAACGCTCAACATGCAAAGACGCACGAGAAGAGAAAGAGAAAAAAAACACCCCAAAAGAATATATAAACAGGTCAATTGTCGCTAGACCAGCAACATAATCCAGTAAAAGCAGTAAAATCGGTCGAACTCTGCATATACATGCCCGGTCTTAAGTCTATACAATAATGTAAAATTCGGACTTAAGGTACGGGACACGAGCTGCTGCTCCTGGTCCTCATCATATGGTTCGATGCATCATTTGCCTCGAAACTCGTGCTCGTACCTTATATTCGATATAGACTTTCCTATGACTCTATCAAATACATTTGAAAAAGAAAACAAAGACTGGACCTGCAGAAGAAAAGTTTTAGCTGGCATGACATGCATCGCAAAATAACAACCCGTGCCTTATAATTGGGGGAGCTAAAGAGCACCTGCAAGTAAATGATTAGAAATCATTACATGCTCCCCCATAATAAGGGTTGGAGCTCCTTTCGCTCCCCTTTGCTTTGTTTGCTCCGATCTTGTTTGAAAGATCGCATAATAGACTTTTGCAAAATGAGAAAATGAGAGTCATTAGCTCATTTCGTAAAGCTCAGAGGTTTCGTGAAATATGGAAAAACGTCGTCGCTAGTCCATTTCACGACAAGACGGAGAACTTCACCCTTGGAGATCCGGGGAGAAGTTCCTCATCTGCCTCGCCAAAGCAAAAGCGACAATCGCCATTTTTCTATATGTTGACCCTAGTTTTCCCGGTAAGGTCGTTAGCACGGGGATGACTCCTTATTAAATGTGATTGTTTGCATGTTGCATTTTGTATTTCACGAGCATTTCATTTCTCTCCATCCGACCGCCCCGGTCTGGCGAGCTTTTCAATTCGTTCCAACCAACCGCCCCGATCCGACGAGCTTTTCACGTCGCCTCGATCGGCCGCCCTGGCCTGGCGAATTTTTCACTACGCTCCGACCGGTCGCCCCAACCTGATCAGCGTTTCACTTTGTCTCGATCGGCCGCCCCGACCTGGCAAGCTTTTCACTTCTCTCTGACCCGGCCGCCCCGACCCGACAAACTTTTCACTTCGCTCCGACCCCGCCCCGACCCGACGAACATCTCACTTAGCTCCGCCCGACCGTCCCGGCTCTACCGTCCCGGCTCTGCGAGCTTTTCACTTCGCTCCAACCGGCCGCCACCGCCCGCTGAGCATTTAACTTCACTTCAGTCGAGCATGTCTTGATTCAGTTGACTAATTATTTGCACCACCATACTGTATTGCATGTGTGTTTGCATTTTTGCATATTATAGTGCGTATATATGATTGCATTATTGCATCTCGTCTCTCATCTGCATGTTTGCACGATTATTGTTGTAGGTTCGAATTGCACACTCTTCGGGTTCATGTCGCCACGGCACGCCTACTTTTTACAGGTCACTGCCCTATCAGCACACCTCTCGGGGCCACTGCCACCACGACATGCTTACCTCTTCGGGTCGTTGCCACCATGACATGTCTATCTCGTTGGGTCACTGTCGCTTCGACATACCCCTTTGGGGCCGCTGCCACTACGGTACGCCTACCTTTGTTCGCTGCCCCATGGTATACTCAACCCTTATATATTTTGATTATTCATTTGCATGGTCATATGGATAGTGAGCCAGACCAGTTAGGAGAGTGACTCCCGTGTTGGTCGCGATGCCTTAACGAGCATTGCTCGCCGGGTCTATCTCGATGAACAATGCGAGTTAAGTTATCGGGACTGACATGAGTATTACTGTGCTAAGTATCCAACATATCTAATTGTGTCACCTCCTTTCATGACACTTTTTAGATCCATTGGATCCTTAGGATGGGGTCGGTCAGACGAGCCCATCAAAGTCATACTACAGCCACACTCACCCCTCACTTAGATATTAGGTTGACGCACTTTTCGTTAGATAGTGTGGCTAGGCTAGGATTTAGGGTGCTAGGTAGTTTTTTTCGACACATTTGGCTATTATTGTGTGGTGCATTGTTTTGTGTTAGCCACGTGTCACCTTCTTGCTTTTTCAGTGTGCTTGCATGCTCTTTTGTGTGTGATAGTATGTTAGGGTGATCTTCTGTAGGTGTCGTGCCTTTTATACACACTCACACAGGATTATTATGGGGGAGCATGTAATGATTTCTAATCATTTACTTGCAGGTGCTCTTTAGCTCCCCCAATTATAAGACACGGGTTGTTATTTTGCGATGCATGGCGTGCCCGCTAACATTTATTTTCTTCAGGTCGAGTCTTTGTTTTCTTTTTTAAAGGTATTTGATAGTCCTAGGAAAGTCTGTATCGAAAATAAGGTACAAGCACGAGTTTCGAGGTGAATGATGCATCAAACCATATGACGAGGATTAGGAGCAGCAGCTCATGTCCCGTACCTTAAGTCCGAATTTTACATTATTGTATAGACTTAAGAACGGACATGTATATGTGAGTTCAACCGCTTTTACTGCTTTCACTGGATTATGTTGCTGGTCCAGCGACATTTGACCTATTTTTATATTCTTTTGGGGTGTTTTTTTTCTCTTCTCGTGTGTCTTTGCATGTTTGAGCGTTTTATATTGTTTATTTCTATATATCTGGGATTTCACGATACAACATAGACTCATTAGGACTTATATTTCTAATTTTTCTACTTAAAAATCTTAAATAAAATATTCAATATAATTAAAATTCAGGATTAAAATATTCAGGATTAAAAAAAATTGCAACATTTACTTTCCTGCTTTTTAATAGGGCCTCCACAATACTTAATGACCGCTCTAGATAACTGCATCCATATTTGCATGTGCCGAGGAGGATATGTCCCAAGGAAGAGCCTCCGTGCTTTTTTAATCTGACTGACCCAGCATTCCTTTTATAGGTGGTTGTCTAATGCGCCTAGGGTGTTAGAAGACTCCCCGACCCAGGCGGGGTATAATTTCTTTTGTTGGGAGTGTTTCCAGCTTTATAGATGAACATCCACTTTCTTTTCTTTCTTAAGGCATCCTCGCCACTTCGGCAGGGATAAGTCCCACCTCTTAGAGTTCCAACCAGAGTTCCAACCAATAGTCATATGATAGAGTTTCGTTTCTTTGACCTTAGGGCTACCGAGATTTCCCGTGGATGACACAATTCACGAATTACTGACTGGGGATCCCAGGTTGTGTTGGGTCGACTACCTTCACGACCAGGTAGACTTAAGGTCCTAGTGGCTT